CAAGAGCTGGCAGCTCTACGCAAGGCGTGCACTGCTGCGCGACGCCAGTACACTAGGCACCGCAGGCGCCGTCTCCGTCCTCCAAATGCGGAGGCGAGAGAGGCGGAGTTGTATGAGGGATACAGGGCGGCGAAAGCCGTCCTCAAGGCGGAGATATTGCGGGCCAAGGAGGAGGCCCGCCGGGAGATGCTGGGGACTCTGAATAGAGACCCGTGGGGACGCCCGTACCGCATGGTACGCGACAAGCTTCGCGCTTGGGCTCCCCCGCTCACTCAGAGTCTCCGGCCAGAGGTCGTTGAGGAGGTAATTGGCGCCCTGTTCCCCCGGCTGTGGAGGGGCTTCACCCCTCCGTATATGACTCCGCCCCCTGCGGTGCCTGACGCGGGCTATAGCGACGACGACGACGACATCGTCCCAGAGGTGACCGAGGCAGAACTGAGAGCGGCGGTGCGCCGGATGGGCGCCAAGAACACCGCCCCAGGACCCGACGGCTTGCATGGCAAAGCATGGGTCCTGGCCTCAGAGGCTCTCAGGCCTCGATTAATCGGTCTCTACAGCGCATGCTTGGAGAGAGGCCAGTTCCCGCTGCTCTGGAAAGCGGGAAAACTGGTCCTCGTGCGGAAGACGGGGCGCCCTGCGGACTCTCCGTCCGCGTACCGGCCCATAGTGCTGCTCGACGAGGTGGGGAAAGTCTTCGAAAGAATCATTTCGAACCGCCTCGTCGCGCACCTGACGGATATTGGGCCGGACCTATCGGACGGCCAGTTCGGCTTCCGCAGAGGGCGCTCCACGGTGGACGCCATCATGCGCGTTAGAGACCTCACGACGGGGACTGCAGTGTCCAGGGGTAAGGTCGTAGTGGCGGTGTCTCTGGACATCGCCAACGCCTTCAACTCCCTGCCCTGGAGCTGCATCTTGGAGGCACTCCGATATCATCGGGTGCCTACCTACCTCCGTCGTGTAATCGAGGCATACCTGACGGACAGGTCCGTCATCTACCCCGGTCACCGGGGCGAGTGGAACCGGCGAGAGATGTCACGCGGTGTTCCACAGGGTTCGGTTCTGGGGCCGCTCCTGTGGAACATCGGCTATGACTGGGTGCTGCGCACCGACCTCCCGAACGGCGTTAGCATGATATGCTACGCCGACGACACGCTGGTGCTAGCGCACGGGAGGTCGCACCAGGCGGCGGCCGATTTAATGGCGACAGCGGTTGCGACAGTCGTTGAGAGAATCCGGCAGTTGGGACTCGAGGTGGCGCTCCACAAGTCCGAGGCCATGTGTTTTCATGGCCGCGGGAATGCGCCACCTCCTGGTGGGTCTCAAATAATGGCGGGAGGGGTTACCATCGGCGTCGAGACGGCGATGAAGTACCTGGGACTCGTCCTCGACAGTCGATGGAACTTCGTGGAGCACTTCCGACGTTTGGCTCCAAAGTTGGCGAGGGTGGGGGCTGCGTTTAAGCGCATCCTCCCCAACCTCGGGGGGCCAAACGCCTCCTGCCGGAGGTTATACGCCGGGGTCGTGCGGTCCATGGCCCTCTACGGCGCCCCTGTTTGGGCGCCGAACCTGCTGCAGCGGCCCGCTCGGGCGCTGCTTATGGCACAGAGGGTCATGGCGATCCGAATGATCCGCGGATACCGCACGATCTCTGGGGAGTCGGCGAACCTCCTTGCCGGATTACCGCCGTGGGATCTGGAGGCGAAGGTGCTCGCGCGCGTGTATCGCATGCGCGCGGAGGCACGTCGCCGGGGCGAAACTCCGCTGCCGCGCCAGATAAGTGCGTGGCGGGATGAGCTCCGGCGCGATCTCATGGCGGAATGGCAGCAACGACTGTCGCAACCGAGGGCTGGGCTCGCTGCCATTGCAGCGGTAAGTCCCCTCTTTGAGGAGTGGCTTGAGAGACGCTACGGCGTCCTCACCTACCGCCTGACGCAGGTCCTCACCGGACATGGAAGTTTCGGGAGGTACCTGTGTCTGATGGGGCGGGAGGGCGCCCGGGTGTCATCACTGCGAGGACCACCCTGAGGACACGGTGGAACACACTGTTGCGGAATGCCCTGCGTGGGCTGAGCACCGCCGTGCCCTCAGGGAAGTGATCGGCGATGGAGACCTCTCGCGTCCGGGCCTAGTGCAGGCCATGATGCGGAGCGAGGGGGACTGGGATGCCGTCTCCTCCTTTTGCGAAGCAGTCATGCTGGCTAAGGAGGAGGCGGGACGCGTGAGGCAGCGAAGCGCTGCCTCCTCACAACCCAGCCATCGCGAAGGACACACCGGGCGTCGGGGATCGCGGGACGATCTCCGGCCACCGTAAGCGCGGGCCTGCGGACGGCGAGCATGGGTGGCTCCCCGTCCGACCAGAAACAGACCCGAGCGTACGGCGCGTCGCGTTCCGCGCGCGCCTCAAAGAGCCATCAGACCACCACAGATGGGGCCCAATAGGGCCGATGCCGATTCGGAGTCGCGGAGAACCTAACGGGTAACCGGGGCTCCGGCTCGACGTGCAGGAGAAGGAACGGGGTGGTTTTTAGTCAGTAAGAGTCTGACACTCCCTTCCGCCTCACCCAGGCGGGAGCAGTCATTCGATGATTTTCCCCCCTTAAAAAAAAAAAAAAAAAAAATCCTGAATGAGACGGAGAGCCATGCTTCAGCACAGCTGGGCCGGCTCGACCGCAGTGATACCACCAACGACCAGAAAACCATAGTGAAACAACGCTTGTGTTATGTTTCGTCCTACGTTTGAGGGTACCGGAAGCCCAATTACCCTCCAATCTCTGAATCCCTCACAATCTTCAAAGGCCTAATCCCCAAAAGGCCGGTAACACACTGATAACGCCTCTGGTGTTTCGGGTGTTCATGGACGACGCTAACTGCTTGTTTACCGGCTTATCCCATAAAAAAATAAAATGAAGTGTTAGACTCTTACTGATGCCGCGGAGAACCTAACGGGTAACCGGGGCTCCGGCTCGAAGTGCAGGAGTAGGAACGGGGTGGTTTTTAGTCAGTAAGAGTCTGACACTCCCTCCCACCTCACCCACGCGGGAGAAGTCATTCGATGATTTTCTCCCCTTAAAAAAAAAGACTTTCTGACCAAAACTCACTCCGTTGTTGCCTTGGCCTGGACAGTCCACGCTACCATCGGTTGACTTGACAATCTCTAGTCTAGACTATATTAAATTATACTTTGTGAAACTCAGTCGTATGTTGGTTACATAGTGATAACGCTGCAAACAAATGTTTCCTGTCTGCGTGTAATAATAACATCAACATTGGGCTCGTATTGAATGAGAAAATATCGGCTATTTAATATTCTCGGTAACTCGATATGAATGACCGATGACCGTATTATCGATTTTTTGTGTCGATTTTTCGGAAATGGTTACTGTTTATCATAAAAATGTGGTAGAATTCGGTTAATTTGGTCTCGCCATGTGACCCATATTTGACCGTGTCTTTACAACAGAAAACTGGCATGAAACAACGCTTTTTTTGAGTGAGGAAAATCTCTCTCTCTCTCTCTTACTGACTAAAAACCACCCCGTTACTAATCCTGTTCTTCGAGCCGGAGCACCGGCAACCCGCTAGGCCTTCCTGGGCCCCTAGCGTACGGCACATCGCGTTCCGCGCGCCCCTTAAAGAGCCGTCAGACCACCACAGATGGGGCCCAATAGGGCCGCTGCCGATTCGGAGTCGCGGAGAACCTAACGGGTAACCGGGGCTCCGGCTCGACGTGCAGGAGAAGGAACGGGGTGGTTTTTAGTCAGTAAGAGTCTGACACTCCCTCCCACCTCACCCAGACGGGAGCAAGTCATTCGATGATTTTCCCCCCTTAAAAAAAGGCCTTCCTGGGCTCCGTATCAGGCAACAGCCCTACTGGGTCCCATCATGAAACAACGCTAGCGTTGTGTTTCACCGTGTGAGTGTGGTTTGTGGAGGTCGAATCCTCCCTCTCCATCCCTAAACCTTGAATCTTTAACCTCCAAAAGGCCAGTAATCAGTTGATCCGTTATCTCGTTTACCTGCTCAAGCAATAAAAAAAAATTAATAACTAAACTAAGCCGGTAAGCTCATTTCTTGTGTCGCGGAGAACCTAACGGGTTGCCGGGGCTCCGGCTCGAAGTGCACGAGAAGGAACGGGGTGGTTTTTAGTCGTCGCTTAAGGCCTCACCCAGGCGGGAGCAGTAATTCGATGATTTTCTCCCTTTAAAAAAAGACCATTTCTTGCAGACATGTAAGAAAGTATTCTCTGGAAGTAAAAGTACTTTAGGTAGACATTTCCATGTTGTTCATTTGAAAATGTGCAAACATTCCTTTCCTTTCAAAGATCATTGTTCAGCTGGTTAGTCACCGTGTTGATATAACACTGTGATGATTGTTATATTTCTTGCATTTCTCCAGTTGTAGGTTTTGCATTATTGTACTTCCTATGGCTCGCCCTCCACGGAACCAATTACATAACTAAATAATAATACGCATTCTTGGTAATGTCATATTATAGAAAAATTACGTGTGTTGTAGCGAACGTTCTGGCGAATGTTCTGGATGCATAGGGAATGTAAATCTCGCGAGATTGGGGGCACGAGTAGAAACACGGGAGATTAGAAATACATACTCGCGAAATCTCGCTTATATCCAGACCTGACATCTTATTATTTATTTTCAGCCATGATCGTCCCACTGCAGGGCAAAGGCCTCCCTACCCTCCTTCCACTCCTCTCTATGTAAAGTTTTTTGCGGTCAATCCTTGTTATACATGTTCAATTCGTCCTGACATCTCCTTTCGGGCTTTTTTTATTTTTTTTAAGGGGGGAAAATCATCGAATGACTACTCCAGCCTGGGTGAGGCGGGAGGGAGTGTCAGACTATTACTGACTAAAAACCATCCCGTTTCTACTCCTGCCCCTCGAGCCGGAGCCCCGGTAACCCGTTAAGTTCTCCGCGGCCCCATATTTTCAGCTCCTTAATGCAAATAATTTAATTGTATGTTTGTGTTGTTACAGCGAGCAGTGGCGCGTGGGTAGCGCGGTGATGGCGGTGGCGGGCGCCCCATGAGCCGGCTGCTGTGCTGCCTGCGTGAGCGCCGAGCCGACATGGGCGCCGCGCTCTCGCATCCTCAGGTATCTACCAACTTCTTCAACAGCCTATAAATGCCCACTGCTGAGCAAAGCCTCTTCTCACACGGAGAAGGTTTGAGCATTAATCACCACGCTTGCTCAATGCGGGTTGGCGATTACAAACTTATAATTACGAATTTAAGCCCAGGTTTCCTCACGATGTTTGTCAATGGTGTCTAGATAATCTTAGAAAGTACATATAACTCGGAAAAAGTCACATTGGTACTTGCCGTTGGTAGGTTTCGAACCCCCATTCTCATGCATGAGAAGCCAGCGTCTTAAACCTCCGGGCCACCACGACATACCTACCAACTTACTAACTGCTAATGTTGAATTCTTCGTTAGAGTTTCTTCAGGTCACTCGCCTGGTGGTAAGCGATGATAGGACCTAGGATGGAAATGAAACACACCTGGATAACCAACCTCGAGTCTTTGACTGTAGGTTGGTGCGGGGGCTGGGCAACCGCTGCCGCGCTGTAGCGGGTTCGATTCCCGCTAGGAGCAACTCTTTGTGTGATCCACAAATTGTTGTTTCTGGTCTGGATGTCATGCTTATGTGATATTGTATGTTTGTAAACGCACACACGACACAGGAGAAAATCCTAGTGTGAGGTAACGTTATTTATTAAATAATAAATATAGTTTAGACTGCCTCGTTGGCCGAGTGTTCGCAAGTGCGACTTTTGGGCAAGGGCCTCGGCTTCGATTCCTGGGTCGGTCAAAGTATTCCTGGGTCGGTCAAAGTATTCCTGGGTCGGTCAAAGTATTCCTGGGTCGGTCAAAGTATTCCTGGGTCGGTCAAAGTACTGTGTTTAAAAAAAAATCTAAGTAGTAGCACAGAGTCTGAAATTGTGTCCGGTATATGACAATAGGCTCACCCCCTATTACATGGGACTTATAGCATAAATAGTGAAAAGTGGGTGTTACATTGTACATTGGCATAATGTACACCTCTGCATATTCCTTTGGGGATAAAAGGCGTGATGTTATGTTATGTTATGTAAATATGCCTGAAATAGATACGGCACTTTTACCTTTCAAGCAAGATATATCTGTGTTTGGAGACTGAGACCGCACCAACCGATTATTATAATTTTTTACTCTATAATTTGTAATCGTCTTCTAGAAACTTCTGAATGTGCTAAACTAATGTGTTTGTGTTGTGCAGGAGGGCGAGGCGTGCGACGGCGCCGGCGTGGCGGCCGCGCCTCCCACCATGGCAGATGTCATACGGTGAGTCTATCGTAACTTTTACAATACTTTAATCATTAATACAACACCCACGACTGTATAATAATTAATACAACTGCCTCGTTGGCCGAGTGGTCGCAAGTGCGACTGCCGGGCAAGGGTTCCCACGTCGGGCAACACACTACTAAATTTTTTAAAAATCTCAGTAGTAGCACGGAGCCTGGAATCGTGCCCGGTACATGGCAATGGGCTCACCCCCTATTACATGGGACTCATAACATAAATAGTGAAAAGTGGCATAATGTGCACCTCTCGGGGATAAAAGGCGTGATGTTCCGTTACAACACGCACGAAGCCCTTCGCATCAAGCTTCCTTGTGCGTACTGCTAAGGAGTGGAATTCTTTGCCAGAGACTGTGTTTCCTGAAGGGTATAACCTGGGTGTCTTCAAGGCCCGAGTGAATAGGTTGCTTATGTGACGACGTGCTCCATCGTAGACCGCGTCATCGTGCACCACCAGGCGAGATAGTGGTCAACACACGTCGGCCCAACAAATACATAATTTTTATGTATTTGTTGGGCTTTGCTCTACCGGGGTGTATCCGACAGAGAACCAAAGTTATCGACATAATCAAAAGGATTAGTAAGCTGAAGTGGCAGTGCGCCAGTCACATTTGTCGAAGATCCGATAACCGTTGGGGTAAACGTGTTCTAGAGTGGAGACCGCGTCTAGGCAAACGTAGTGTAGGGCGCCCTCCAGCTAGGTGGAGTGACGACATCCGCAAGGTGGCTGGCAGTGGTTGGATGAGAAGAGCTGAAGACCGAGCTCAGTGGCCGTGGCAGTGGCATTGAAGAGTCGAACCCGATACCCTTTTCTTGGCAGTCTTCCCGAAATTGTAAACTTAGATCAATCCTTACTAATATTATAAATCTGAAAGTGAGTTTGTTTGTTTGTTTGTTCCACCTTCACGCCGTAACTACTCAACCGATTGCTTTGAAGTTTTGCAGACGTAAAGTTAGAAGTCCGGATTAAATAATAGGGTACTTTTTAACCCGGAAAAATTGATATTCTCCAGGAAAAACAAAAGTATTGGTATAGATGGCGCTGTATGTATTGGTATATGTCACATAGGCTACTTATTATTCTTTTGTGACGCGAGCGAAGCCGCGGGTAAAAGCTAGTGAAGCTATAAAAATCAATTTTATTTAGACCAATAAAGCCCTTTTCAATGTCAAACACAACAAATAGCGTCATTCTGTCAGTCAATCCTCTAGTTGGTCTATTTGCTCGTTCCAAAGTTTAGGTTCCTGTGTAGAAGGACGAGCAAGAAACTCGAGCTCCCTTTCTCAAATCAGTTTCACAAACCAACGATGAAGTCAGCCAGTTAAACTTTTGTGTTATTTTTGTTTAAGTGAATGTATTACTAAGACCTGTTTCTCTGCTTTCCCCACAGAGAGAGGAAGAAGAAGGCTGCGGGCTCCGGTCTCGGCACGCTGCGGCGTCGTATCGCGCTCGTACGTCGTCCGCGAGAAAACCGACCCGATAGAGGTAATTATGTTAAGAATTGTTAGTACCGTGTTTTAGTTCACAAACAGTTTTTGCGCTGGCTAGGTGGCACTGGTGTCGATTTGAGTCCGTTAATCTTGTGATGTCGAATGATTGTACGTACAGTGTGCACTAAAGTGACTGTAACTTACGTAAACATATATATTTTATTCGAAATCAACTGGCTCAAGCTATGATAGGAATATTCAAGACATAATAGTAAAGCTGTAAAGCATAATACAGTAGTTGACAGGTCACAGTCAAGTTCAATACTTTTATTGAAATGTCAAAAACGATACTTTTCTATGAATTTTGTATTGGATCGCAACTTATGACGTCATCATATTTCTGCGTCAAATAATAGCATACGTATTTCCTTAAAGTTAGCGAGATAAAATCCAAAAGTAGGTAAATTGTCAAATCAATGGATGAGAGTGTGATTATTTTTTAATTATTTATTGCATTGAAAAGTTCATTTATTTATTTATTTATTCGAAGGAGTACGGCCACATCACAAACATATAACATTCAAAATACACAATAGTAACAAAATAAAGGTCTGATGCATGCGACAATAATGGCGTACATAGCATTGGCAATTCATAGGCTTAACAGTGGCTTAAAAATAAAATCCAATTTAAGAATTATAGAAAAGAAAATAACAGCAATAATCCACACCATACACACATTAAAATGAGAATTTAACAAGATGTCTGATTAAAACAAAACAAATTAACAACAAAAATTAATTAGTATCTATGCCATATTAAGTCTAATAATAATAATTTAATACAAATATAATATAATAAAATGTCAAATTATCATCAGGATTTCAAAGAAATGTCAATTAAATTAAATGAGAATCAAAATAATTTCAATGATTTAAAGAAATGTCAGAGTCTAAAACAGATGCCAAAGTATAAAGCAGCAAGCAGCACCAACAACAACAATAACAAACGATACTATAGTGCATCAATAATCCTGCCTCTAAATACTCTTAAAAGTTGAAACAATTTATTTTAAACCTGGGAAACTAGCCAATTGAATACACGATTATACAATATAGCCAAAGAAAAGATTTTTTTAAGCCAAGGATACAACTAGGGGATAAATATCGCACGACATATATCGGCGACATGTCTAACGAAGCCTACTAATTTCACCTGACGTAGGCTAAGGTGTCTTGGTGGCCCGGAGGTTTAAGACGCCCACTTCTCATGCATGAGGGTGCGCGTTCGAAACCTACCAACGGCAAGTACCAATGTGGCTTTTTCCGAGTTATATGTACTTTCTTCATTATTTAGACACCACTGACAAACGGTGAAGGAAAACATCGTGATGGAACCTGGGCTTATAATTTCCAATTATAAGTTTGAAATCACAACCCGCATTGAGCAAGCATTGACTAATGCTTAAACCTTCTCCGTGTAAGAAGTGGCTTTGCTCAGCAGTGGGCATACAAATGCCCACTGCTGAGCTGGCTGTTGATGATGATGAGGTATAAGGCGACAACGCGCGTATAATGTCCACGTCCAGCGACGTTGATGTTGCCAGACATGTCGACCAAAGTCCGGCAACGTCTCGCTACTCCACCCAACGTCGCTGGCGACGAGTGTCGCAGGATATTTGTCCGCTAGGGTATCCTTGTGAATAGGGTAGTTAATAGCTTTACCTATTGTGAATAGGGTAGTTGCCTAAATTTTATTTTAATGTCCGTCTGGTAGATTAATTTAAAACTTTAGACACGTATTTTTTATTTTCTCACAACATTTAATACTTTCGTCGATATAATAATCTGAAATATCGTGTGACGTCACAGCGTGTCACATTTTGTAGCACTTAGTGACGTAACGACCACCCACTCCTAAACCTAACTCAATTTTATCTAAGTATTGTAACTTTATACGAGGAAATAAAAAAATACGTGTCTAATATTTTTTCATTGCCTAACTGACAGACTAATTACATTTTTAATTTTCAATCCCTGGCAACTACATCATTATTTTAGTACATTTTTAGCGTTATTACAAAATGAAAAGGGTTGAAATTCGATCAAATTTTAGTCCAGTTGTGAAACATGCCACCAGCTTTCTATATCGGAAACCTCAATTTCTCCTTCTCCAGGTTGCGAGCACGCGCGTTTCATTCGCTCGGTAGTCAGTTCCTGGCGGCTGGCGGAAGTGTTCCTGCTGTGCGAGGAGTTGGAGGCCGGGGCTGCTCTCCGTGACCTGGTCACCCAGGCCGAGCTCGCAAGGGAACCGGCCGCCGCGCTGCATGCTGACCTGGCACACGCGTACAGAGACAGGTAAAACGAAAAACAAACAACAAAATTATTCTTTTATAAACGACGGCACAAAAGGATAAAAAGTAGCCTATGTGACTATCCATCCGTTCAACTACCTTCAGTAAAAAAATCACGTTAATTAGTACCTCCGTTCTGCCGTTTAAGACAGGCAAACAAACAAGTAGCTTTCCGCTCGCGTGGAATTCGGTTATATCGCGCTATTTACATTTTTCCAATAAGTAGGTAATTCGTTGACTGGTTTTAAATGACATACAACGCCATCTATACCACTACATACAGCGCCATCTATACCAATATTTTTGATTTTCCTAGGAAATATCATTTTTTTCCGGGATAAAAAGTACCCTATTATTAAATCAGACTTCTAACTTTACGTCTGCAAAATTTCAAAGCAATCGGTCTAGTAGTTACGGCATGAAGGCGGAACAAACAAACAAACTCACTTTCCGATTTATAATATAAGTAAGGAATAAGTAAGGATGTTTAAAACAACCGACCTCAATCCTCCTCTTTTATTGAAGTCGGTTAAATAATATACTAAATTCTTCTTTTAAGTGTAACAAACACTTTTCTGCAAACGGCGTCATGATCAGTTCAGGAAATCACGAGATAATTCCGGACAAAGATACATATGTACATACAGGCCATACTGAGTGATAGGATACGGAGCCGCGGAGAACGTAGACGGTTGCCGGGGCTCCGGCTCGAAGTGCAGGAGTAGGATAATACTTTAATAATTAATACAACACGCACGAAGCTCTTCGCATTAAGCTTCCTTGTGCGTACTGCTAAGAAGTGGAATTATTTGCCAGAGTCTGTATTTCCTGAAGGGTATAACCTGGGTGTGTTCAAGGCCCGAGTGAATATGTTGCTTATGGGACGACGTCCTCCATCGTAGACCGCGTCATCGTGCACTACCAGGCGAGATAGTGGACCACCAAATATCAAAAATAAGGACCTAACATTCGGTATCTGTCGCGGAGAACCTAACGTTACCGGAGTCCCGGCTATAGAAGTGCAGGAGTAGGATCGGGGTGGTTTTTAGTCAGTTAGAGTCTGACACTCCCTGCCGCCTCACCCAGGCGGGAGCAGTCATTCGATGATTTTCCCCCCCTTAAAAAAAACCTTCGGTAACTGGCCTGGCTGATGACGATTTATACATATTATTCCAGATGGTGGTGCGACGTGGAGCTGGTGGGCGTGGGCTGGTGTATAGCGGCGCACCGAGCCATACTGTCCGCGCGCTGCACCTACTTCAGGGACCTACTGCAACGATATCCGCCGTCAGTATACTACATTATATTACTAACTACTTACTCGCGTAGTTTCACCCTCTGCTCGGCTCCTATTGGTCGTAGCGTAATGTTTTCCAGCCTATAGCCATCCTCGATAAATGTACTATCGAACACAAAAATAATTATTCAAATCGAACCATATAATATAGATTGAAAATAGATTTTTTCGACGGACCACCTGATGGTAAGCAATCGGCGCCGCCCATGGACACCTGGAACACCAGAGGCGTTACAAGTGCGTTACCGGCCTTTTGGTGATGAGGAATTTGTGGATTGTTAAGGATTCAGGGATTGGGGAGATAGGAAAAGAGGGGGGGGGGCGATGATGCATGCGGTCAGTAGGCTGCGTGACATCGCCGCGACCGCGCACGCTGCTCATGAGGAAGAACCCCTCTGTGGTTCGAAACTAGTAGAGCTTTTCTCAGTATATTCACGTGAATAACTCGCGATTTTTAGTTAATAATTTAGGGGGGGGGGGGTTGCGCAATAGCGACAATGTTTGCGCAAGTACTGTAACTTTAGCGCAAGTTCTTATCTATGTTTCTGTATCGCAGGTCGTGTTGCCGGGTGCCACTAGAGGGCGCTGGTGCTGCGTTATCCCGCGAGGAGATGGAGGCCGCCGTGCTAGCGCTGTACGCTGGACCTCAGCCTTCTAGGGGACCCTGCGCCGCTTGCGCCAGTCAGTATACTGTTATATCATTTTACGTGAGACTCAAGTATCTCGCGACTACGTGGACCACAACAGTCCTGTTAGTCATTTACACCACCTTCCCCCCATCTCAACGCAGAGACTATATTTAAAAATTTTAACTTAAATATATTTAAAAATAACCAAAGCACTTGTTGCCTTTGGGTCAGCAGTGGACACTTGTATTCTGTTGATGATATATGTATGTATCAATAATATGTTTGTGTTTACAGAGTGGGACCGCGCAGGTCCCGCGGACGGAGACCTGGACATCATCAACGGAGACAATACTGGCAGTGAGTACTGTAATATATTATTTATTGTAATTAAATGTGTGCTCGCCATGCTTCGGCCTTGATGGGTCGGAGTGATACCGTCGCCCTGTACTCCATACTGACATTGGGTTGATTGACGTTGACTAAGGGGATTGGAGGCCCAGCTACCCCGTCTCCTTCCCCTTGGGGATTGTCGGGGGGGAGGGGTTAATGTCTTGTAACGCCTTTAGTGTTCCGTGTGTTCATGGGCGACGACGATTGCTTACCATCATGTACAGTAGAATTGAGTTGTCTAATACTATACATACATACATTTGACCATTGACAGCACCGCGTAACGTGTAGCGGGTTCGATTCCTGGAAGGAACAACTCTTTGTGTGATCCACAAAATGTTGTTTCGGGTCTGGGTGTGATGTGTATGTGAACTTGTATGTTTGTAAACGTAAGTAAACACGACACAGGACACAATCCTAGTGTGGGGCAACGTTCTTTTAAAGTTAAACCCCAGGATAGACTAGGGATGATGATACAGATGTTCTTCGACTCGTGTCGCCAGCGACGTTGGGTGGAGTAGCGCGACGTTGCCGGACTTTGGTCGACATGTCTCGCAACATCAACGTTGCTGTGTGGACATAAGGCTCGCGTTGTCGCCTTATAATATGTCGGGCGACATCGATAGACTTCACTAGACATATCGCCGATACATATGTTAGGATATTTGTCTCCTAGTGAATCTTAGCTTTGAAGATATGAAGAATAATGCCGTTCTAATCATTTACTTATTCTTGTAAGTAAAGGTTTCTAGTTAATACTAGTTTCTAGTTGATCCTTGCAATCAACTGGTATAATAAACTGTACAAATTTAATAAGCTGTAACCACTGTGAAAATTGTGATATGCTCACCTATCAATTTTAAGTCTGTCACTATACGTGAGGACTTGTAATTGGCTTTCAGTAGTTTATGTTGGGTTCTACTTTTATGTAGTTTTAGCTGTAAGTCCTCTAGGGTGTAATAAATAAATAAATAAATTCTCCCCCCCAGCGTGGCGCAGTGTGGGCGGGGGCGCGTGCGGGTGCGGGCGCGGGGGCGCGGGCGGGGGCGCGGAGCCCGCTCTGCTGCGCCGCCTCGCGTCGCTGCTGGGCTTCTCGCCCGACGCCTTGCACCACGACATGAGATACCTGCTCGACTCCGGTAACGTACTGCTGGCATAGCCTATTGATCATAGCGTGATATTTTATAGCCTATAGCCATCCTCGATAAATAGACTATACAAACTATTAATTTTTCAATTTGAGGAGCACGTTCAAATAAACGGAATTCTTTTAGTATTATTTCTGCCTGATTTCTGTACTGTAATCCTTACTATCCTTACTATAATATTATAAATCGGAAAGTGAGTTTGTTTGTTTGTTCCACCTTCACGCCGTAACTATTCAACCGATTGCTTTGAATTTTTGCACACGTAAAGTTAGAAGTCTGGATTAAATAATAGGGTACTTTTTATCCCGGAAAATTTTGATATCCTCAATTGAAAACGAAATTATTGGTATAGATGGCGTTGTGCTATTGGTATATGTCACATAGGCTACTTTTTATACTTTTGTGACGCGAGCGAAGCCGCGGGTAAAGGTCGCTCTTATATTGTGTCATATCGATACTTCACGGCTCAAATGGGGTACAAACCAAAAGACAGTTTTACAGAGCTAATAATTTATGAATTTTACTTATGTCAAATATAGGAAAAAATATTTTAAAAATAAATTAGGTATCCCTCAAAAACGGAGCCTCGGAAGACTTAACGGGTAACCGGGGCTCCAGCTCAAAGTGCAGGAGAAGGAACAGGGTGGTTTTTAGTCAGTAAGAGTCTTATACTCACTCCCGCCTCACCCAGGCGGGAGCAGTCATTGGATGATTTTCCCCTCTCAAAAAAAGGTATCCCTCAAAAAAAAGTTGATTTAAACCAAAATGTAAGTGCTATATTAGCTTAGAGGTTCTTTAAAATTTAGGAGAGGTTAGTATAAACGGGTTGTGAGGTGTATTTTTTTGGCTACAATCATTCTTGTCGCCTAATAGCCGACCGTTATATTCGTCAAAATGTTGTTAATGTTACAGGCAAACCCTTAACCAGTCGAAAAGTACTTTTAACTATGTATGATCTCTCGCTTGATCACACACTACTGTAGATGATGTTGGGTAGAATAGAATAAAAGATGTTAAATGTATCTAAACTATAGTATTGTTCCAAAATTAAAGGTAAATATAACTTGCTCCTTGAAATACCTTCCCACCGGACCTCTTTTATTTCTAATTCCTTTACAATAAGTGTCATTAAACTTTGGAACGCGCTCCCCCTCAATATCAAAAAAGCTCCTAATAAAATCTCCTTTAAACACCAAGTTCATGAATTTTACTTAAAATCGCTGCAACGCTAGGTCTAGGTCTTCGTCGATATATATTTATTTATGTATTTATACCTATATATTTTATGCATATGACTATATATACTATTTACTATTATGTAATATATATGTATAGCTATATTATTGAATAATTACCTTTTTATTTATTTTTTCCTCTCTCTCTCTTTGCTGTTAGTTTATTCTCCGTACCTTATTTTTCGCAGATTTTCTATTTAAACCCTAAGGTTGACTGGTAGAGAATGCCATATGGCATTAAGTCCGCCTTATGTGCCATATTAAAATTGTGTACATTAAAGATTAAATAAATAAATAAATAAGTAAATGAGGTAATGAACTGATGTGTGTGATCTGAGTGACACGTGGCCTTTGCTGGCCGTAATGAGAACGGCCGACTTGATGGCTCGACGCGAACGAACTATTATTATAAAATGAAATGAATGTGAGGCGTAAATGCTGACGATGCTATACGATGTGCGGTTGCACCGTACAAACTAGTAAATTCAGTCACAAGTACGTACGAAGCAGTTTTCATGTATTGTTTTAACATGAACATACGCGACATCAGTGTACTCGTCGATCGCGAACAGAACGGGTGCATTCATCAAATAACATAAACATTAACATTAAGAAAGTGCACTGAACTCTTTATAAACAACTAGCTTTTACCCGCGGCTTCGCTCGCGTCACAAAATGATAAAAGTAGCCTGTGACATAATAATATACCAATACACGCAGCGCCATCTATACCAATACTTTTTTTTTCCCTCTAGAATATCAAATTTTTCCGGGATAAAAAGTACCCTATTATTTAATCCGGTCTTCTAACTTTACATTACATACATAACATCACGCCTTTTATCCCCGAAGGGGTACCGGGTAGGCAGAGGTGCACATTATGCCACTGTACAATGTAACACCCACTTTACTTTACGTCTGCAAAAATTCAAAGCAATCAGTTTAGTAGTTACGGCGCGAAAGCGGAACAAACAAACAAACTTACTTTCCGATTTATAATATTAGTAAGGATAATCTTTTACGGTCACGAATGTGTTTGATATCTACCTACGACCTTACACCCCGTACATTACTTTTAACTAGCTCCATCGGGCAAATGTACTTTTGACTGTTGATTTAATCAACAATGTTTTTGACAGTCAAAAGTTATATCGACTGATTGAGAGTTTAGACTGTAGCTCCTTGCGCCTCTCGCTCCTCGAAATGTGATGGTTGGTCCGTTCCAGGCGAGCTGGCGGACACGCGGCTCGTGTTCCGCCTGGAGACAGGTTGTGGCGCCGCCTACGGGTTCCGCACCGCGCTGGAGCTGCCCTGCCACCGGCTACTGCTGGCGGCCAGGTCCAGGTTCTTCAGGTATACACTGCCTGATATATTGTGTTATACTGCACTGGACCATGTTTACTATACAGCGACCCTACCTACAGGAGCGTCATGTCCCGGCGCGGCTCGGCCGGTGGGGGCGCGGGCGCGGGTGGGGGCGCGGGCGGGGGCGCGGTGGGTGCGTGGTGCGTGGACGAGAAGGTGCTGCCGCGCAGGTTCGCGCGCGCATTACTGCACGCTGCCTATACTGACACTGGAGTATAGCGGGGGCGGGCGGGGGCGCGGTGGGTGCGTGGTGCGTGGACGAGAAGGCTGCCGCGCAGGTTCGCGCGCGCATTACTGCACGCTGCCTATACTGACACTGTGAGTATAGCGGGGGCGGGCGGGGCGCGGTGGGTGCGTGGTGCGTGGACGAGAAGGTGCTGCCGCGCAGGTTCGCGCGCGCATTACTGCACGCTGCCTATACTGACACTGTGAGTATAGCGGGGGCGGGCGGGGGCGCGGTGGGTGCGTGGTGCGTGGACGAGAAGGTGCTGCCGCGCAGGTTCGCGCGCGCATTACTGCACGCTGCCTATACTGACACTGTGAGTATAGCGGGGGCGGGCGGGGGCGCGGTGGGTGCGTGGTGCGTGGACGAGAAGGTGCTGCCGCGCAGGTTCGCGCGCGCATTACTGCACGCTGCCTATACTGACACTGTGAGTATAGCGGGGGCGGGCGGGGCGCGGTGGGTGCGTGGTGCGTGGACGAGAAGGTGCTGCCGCGCAGGTTCGCGCGCGCATTACTGCACGCTGCCTATACTGACACTGTGAGTAAGCGGGGGCGGGCGGGGCGCGGTGGGTGCGTGGTGCGTGGACGAGAAGGTGCTGCCGCGCAGGTTCGCGCGCGCATTACTGCACGCTGCCTATACTGACACTGTGAGTATAGCGGGGGCGGGCGGGGCGCGGTGGGTGCGTGGTGCGTGGACGAGAAGGTGCTGCCGCGCAGGTTCGCGCGCGCATTACTGCACGCTGCCTATACTGACACTGTGAGTATAGCGGGGGCGGGCGGGGGCGCGGTGGGTGCGTGGTGCGGTGGACGAGAAGGTGCTGCCGCGCAGGTTCGCGCGCGCATTACTGCACGCTGCCTATACTGACACTGTGAGTATAGCGGGGGCGGGCGGGGGCGCGGTGGGTGCGTGGTGCGTGGACGAGAAGGTGCTGCCACGCAGGTTCGCGCGCGCATTACTGCACGCTGCCTATACTGACACTGTGAGTATAGCGGGGGCGGCGGGGGCGCGGTGGGTGCGTGGTGCGTGGACGAGAAGGTGCTGCCGCGCAGGTTCGCGCGCGCATTACTGCACGCTGCCTATACTGACACTGTGAGTATAGCGGGGGCGGCGGGGGCGCGGTGGGTGCGTGGTGCGTGGACGAGAAGGTGCTGCCGCGCAGGTTCGCGCGCGCATTACTGCACGCTGCCTATACTGACACTGTGAGTATAGCGGGGGCGGGCGGGGGCGCGGTGGGTGCGTGGTGCGTGGACGAGAAGGTGCTGCCGCGCAGGTTCGCGCGCGCATTACTGCACGCTGCCTATACTGACACTGTGAGTATAGCGGGGGCGGGCGGGGGCGCGGTGGGTGCGTGGTGCGTGGACGAGAAGGTGCTGCCGCGCAGGTTCGCGCGCGCATTACTGCACGCTGCCTATACTGACACTGTGAGTATAGCGGGGGCGGGCGGGGGCGCGGTGGGTGCGTGGTGCGTGGACGAGAAGGTGCTGCCGCGCAGGTTCGCGCGCGCATTACTGCACGCTGCCTATACTGACACTGTGAGTATAGCGGGGGCGGGCGGGGCGCGGTGGGTGCGTGGTGCGTGGACGAGAAGGTGCTGCCGCGCAGGTTCGCGCGCGCATTACTGCACGCTGCCTATACTGACACTGTGAGTATAGCGGGGGCGGGCGGGGGCGCGGTGGGTGCGTGGATTGACTTTTTGGGTTGAAAGTCGGCCTATCTATCGACCTATCTATAATCAACATTACTCCAAAAACAATTACAAAGACTTCAGTTTCGCATTAATTTTGTGTATAATGAGCTACTAACAAGGATATTGTCGACAGGTGGACCTGTCCCTCATAGGGCGCAGTTCGAGCTCCCCCTCCTCCACCAACTCTACGGGCAGTGGGGCCACGGTAAGTCTATCTGACTATGTTGACATTGCTTTATGTTCTTCTAGCTTTCCACCCATTTTTGGAAGTATTATACTCTCAAAGTCAAAATCATTTATTTCAATTAGGAAGGCACTTTTGAACGTCAACAAAATATTTAAAGTGAAGCTATTTGCTCATTTCACTGTGTAGATTCTTATGGAGAAGAACGAGCAAGAAACTTACTGACTAAAAACCACCCCGTTCCTACTCCTGTACTTTGAGCCGGAGCCCCGGTAACCTTTTACGTTCTCCGCGGCTCCGTATCGGCATCAGCCCTATTGGGCCCCATCCGTGGTGGTCTGATGGCTCTTTGTGTTGCGTGGAACGCTCGGCGCCGTACGCTCGGGTCTGTTTCTGGTCGGCCGACGAGCCACCCATGCTCTATGTCCTCCGGCCCGCCCTTGCGGTGGTCGTAGATAGTCCCGCGATACCCGACGCTCGGTGTGTCCTTCGCGATAGCTGGGGCGTGAGGACGCGCCCCGCCTCCTCCGGCCACCCAGTCCTCTTCGTTCCGCATCATGGCCCGGACGCCGTCGCAGAATTTCAATGATAGTGTTCAAAGACGTTGACTTCTGAACGGTTTTTTTGTACAACGTTCTTCTTACGTCCAGTTTTTATAACCTATCTATCTGTAGATGTCGCGGAGAACCTTACGGGTAACCGGGCCTCCGCCTCGACGTGCAGGAGAAGGAACGGGGTGGTTTTTAGTCAGTAAGAGTCTGACACTCCCTTCCGCCTCACCCAGGCGGGAGCAGTCATTCGATGATTTTCCCCCAAAAAAAAAAAAAATCTATCTGTAGATTTGCTTACTAGAGATAGAATTTTGACATGAGCTCCATACACAATGTGTCAAAATTCTATCTCTAGTAAGCAAATCTACAGATAGATAGGTTATAGTAGAAACTGGACGTTATTAGTCGATTTCCTCACTGCTGAGGATCGTGGCTCCCTCTGATTCTGCTCACTAGATGACGCCATTCATTACGTTCCGTTGCTTGGTGCATTGCAACATTCATAGGTATCTCCAGTTCCTTCGATATTTGGTCAAACCACCGTATGATACTCCGGCTTCTCGGTCTCTTTCCTTCTGCCTTACCAGGCGTTCCAGACTGCCAGCATCTTTTTTTATGGCATAAGCCGGTAAACGAGCAGACGGATCACCTGATGGTAAGCAATCGGCGTCGCCCATGGACACCTGGACCACCAGAGGCGTTACAAGTGCGTCACCGGCTTTTTGGGGATTAGGAGTTTGAGGATCGTTGGGGATTCAAGGATTGGGGAGATTGGGGAAGGGGAAAGTAAGTGGGCCTCCGATAACCTCACTCACACGACGAAACACAACGCAAGCGTTGCTTCACGTCGGATTTCTGTGAGGCCGTGGTGTAGCTCCGGTCGAGCCGGCCCATTCGTGCCGAAGCATGGCTCTCCCACTCTCAAATCTCTCTGCGAGCAATATGGCCAAAGTATTGCACAATCCTTTGCAAGCAAACTGTGGACGAGCGCTGGGTTTTGTCTATATTTAGCTCTTTCAGAATAGAGACGTTTGTGTGGTAAGCTGTCCACGGTATCCCTAGCATCCTGCGCCAGCACCACACACTGGCCTTCTTTGTACAACGTATATTCATTTAAAAGCATATGTTTACTATTAACGAATCGATTTTAATTTTTCTTTTTCTTAAAACTGCCTCATTGCCTCGACTGCCTCGTTGGCCGAGTGGTCGCAATTGCGACTGCCGAGCAAGGGGTCTCGGGTTCAATTCCCGGGTCGGGCAAAGTATTACTGGGTTTTTAAAAAATTCTCAGTAGTAGCACGGAGTCTGGAACTGTGCCCGGTATATGGCATTAGGCTCACCCCCTATTACATGGGACTCATAACATAAATAGTGAAAAGTGGGTGTTACATTGTACAGTGGTATAATGTGCACCTCTGTCTACCCCTTTGAGGATAAAAGGCGTGATGTTATGTTATGTTTTTTCTTAAAAAGTAATTTAGTTAGTTACAAAACTAACAGAATACATCGTATATTCCAGGCGTGGTCCGGTGTAACTCGCAGTGGCACGCGTCCAGTCACCGCCGCCGCGTTGGATGACGCCTTCCAGCTGTATGAGATAGCCAGGTACACACACATACATACATTTATGAAACTTAGTGTAAAGTTCCATAAAACTAGTAAAGACAATATGGTGATATACAGTGAAGAAAAACATCGTGAGGAAATTTGGGCTTATTAACTTTGAAATTGCCGATTCACATTGTGCAAGCGTGGTGATTAATGCTCAAACCTTCTCCGTGTGAGAAGAGGCCTTTGCTCAGCAGTGAACACTTATCAGCTGACATATATTACCTGTTGTATATTTTTATCGTCTTTCATGTCAGTCGCCATATACATGGCCCGGTAAACGACCATACGGATCACCTGATGGTAAGCAATCTTTGCCTCCCATGGACACCTGGAACGCTGAAGGAGTCTCTAGGTGCCGCACAAGGGAGTGTTACGCTGACATATTCAAAGGTTACTCAAGTTTAAGTCGCGCTTAAGTATACTTCTGTCTCAACAAATAGGGTAGACGACTAATTTTTATTTTAATGTCCGTCTGGTAGATTATTTAAAAACATTAGACACGTATTTTTTATTTTCTTACGGAAACGAATAGTTTCGAAGATATATTGATTTGAAATGTCGCGTGACGTCACTTCTCAGTACATTTTATACTAAGAAATGACGTTTTAGCCCCCACTCCTAAACTTTGATTCGTTTTATCTAAGTGTTGAGGTGATAAGGTTGCAGTTTGCTTGTGTAGATTTTCCAATGAAAGACGTGCGGTTGTTTCGAAATTATATTTGACACTAAAGTAAATACGTTGAAGGTAGAATGACATGAATGGACTACAGATTAATAAATATACAAAAATATGTGATACAAACTTTTTGAACGAACATACCGCCCACCAAAAGGGCTTTAAGACCCTTTTTTAAAAATACTAAAATAACATAACTTACACAATTAACACAAACATAACAACTGAATTAGAGATTTCTAGTAACAAACTTCTAATGTAACATAGCGGCAGGACGATATGACTTA